AAGATTTTTTTAGAATTTCTGCAGCAGATATCGATGAAACTTGGCAGGTTGATGAATTGGTCTGTTGAATATGCTGTTGAATGTTTTTTTCCACATCTGAAAATTCTAAGTGGGTCTTTTTCATGATTTTCATCCACAATTACCTCTCCCAACAACACTGAGGGAACAACTGAGCTTGCTCAGAATAAATAATTAATGCTGAAATCTTGAAAAAAAAAGTGTATATTATATCTTTAAACTGTAAAAATTGTATTCCATTATAAAGAGCCATCATTGAAATACCTGGTCACAAAGTTGAAGATCAGTAAAAACAATTTGCAGTTGCTGTTTATAAATCTTGGCCAGGCACATTGACACATGTAGTCTAAATATAGCTTCAGTTGTCAGGGCTAGTGGATAAATGGGTTTTACCATTATGAATCTCAATGGAATTAACAAAGAAGTCAAGTTGTTATAAAAGGTACATCAAGGTTTACTCAGATTTATGAATGAAGTTTCTTGAGCATGTATACATGTATGAGACATACTGTAGAATACTTTATTTTCACTTGGAATTTCTTTTCGCTATTTCCGCTGAAGGGATGATTCCGTGAAATTAAAATCCAGCGAATATACTTTTTTTCCTATATTTCACATTAAACTCATCAAAAATCAGTGAAAATAAATTCCATACAAAACGCCAAAAAGCTTTTTCAGCGAAAATTAATTCCAGCAAAAATAAAGTATTCCACAGTAGTTTGGTTGCACTTGTGTACTCTGAGATTTTGTACATGGGTCAATGGAAGTTTTCAGTTATTAGTACAATACTAGATTAAAGGAAATCACTTTATGATGAGTTGTACTCACATAGAGTACATATTAATTCTCCTGTTTGAAGATGTTCCATGTATTATTTTAACATGAGTATTTTATAATTAAAAGACAGGGACTATGACATTCATGTCTTTTTAACTTTATACATTGTATAATGATTGCAAATATTGAGTTATATTGAAATATTGAATGGATTTAAGATGGCTGACTGGTGGCCATATATATTGAGTTGCAGATGCACATGCATATTATATCCACAGCCATATAATAGTTAATCACATGAATGACTTTCCTCAATAACATTATTTAGCTTTATCTCAGTATCTCAACAATACTTTGGATCTGCATCCACAGTTGGATTCTAATCTTCAGTCCGTCATTAAACAAATATTGTGTGTTCTGTTACACAGCATTTTTCGTCATAGCAAATAAACATATCTGAATTCATGTGGAGTATGGTTGCGATGAAGAGAGGTTGGTTGCTGTGAGGGGGTGGTTGCTATAAAGGCAGTATGGTTGCTTTGAGGCCAATATTGTTGCTATGAGGGGGATGGTTGCATAAAGAGAAGATGGTTGCTATTAAGAGAGGATGGTTGCTACATGTATGAGGAAAGGATGGTTGCTACGAAGAGAGGATGGTTGCTACAAAGAGAGGATGGTTGCTATGAAGAGAGGATAGTTACATGAAGAGAAGATGGTCGCTATGAGGAGAGGGTGGTTGCTATGATGGCATGTTGGTTGCTATGAGAGAATGGTTGCTATGAGGAGAAGATGGTTTCTATGAGGGGAGCATAGTTGCTACAAGGAGCATAGTTGTTATGAAATGGATAGTTTCTATGAGATGAAGGATGGTTGCTTTGTTGTGAATTGCTACTATTTGGAACCTTGTTTCGATGTAGAGAACAGTAGCTATTAAAGTTTTAGCTATAGGAGGGGAAGATGTTTGCTACATGTATGAATGGGTGTTTTCTGTGTGGGGAGGATGGTTGTTATTTTTAAGCCACATTTATTTTGCCAAGATGTAGAATTATCTACAATTTGATACTTTCACATATGACACATTGACAGCTGAAAGGTTACATTAGTGTCATTGAATGCTGGAAGTCCCTAGCCATCCAACGTAATGCTACATGTCTTTTGTGTTACCCTACTGCGAATATAATCTCATGTGACATTCAGCTCATCTGCTTCTTGTCTCCGGTGAATTATCCAATTCACAAACTATTTTTAATGTGCTTTTAGAAAGTTTATATTACACATACTTGATAAGGGATATAAAGTATAACTGATAACTGTTTGTGAAGTAGATTATGCTGTGAGTCTTGACTCAATCCACATGATAAAATACACTGCAGTTTGGTATTGTTAGAACGCAGTTTATGCAGATGTGAAAAATGGCATGTCATACAACTAAGTCATTCACTAAACTTGGAGATGAAGGAAATGAAATAAAATAAAAATAAATTGGTGAAATTACCAAAGATAATTTGCATAGAAATTAATGATACTGAGCTCATTTGCATAAAAAAATGTTTTTAATATCCCCTAAAACTGGGTTACCTGAAACATAAGATTTATTTTACATGGCCTTATAAATTACATTGGTATTTCATTGAATCACTGTGTGGAACCAATCACAAAATCATGAGTATGGTAAGATATCGTTAGAACTGACAGTGATGTAATGTAATTGCTTTAACACTTAGACAATACAACTTAGAGTACTGTCTGAAAAAATACAAGAATATCTTAAAAAGCTGATGCTGATACATGCAGCATGCTCCAAATTAAGAACAACGTCATGCAATTCATCTTTCCAAAACCTGTGCCTTCTGGCGACTTCAGTGATGTATATGAAAGTCAACCGTTCTCAACATTGATATTTTTTTGATGTGTAGTCGTCATAAAAACGTGCCTTAGAGAGATTTTGTAGGCACTAAATGATGAATGATTACTCAACCAATCACAGTAGTTGCGTTGAATGACAATGCTTTTATCAGTCTTTGTCATTGAAGCATTTTATCTCCATAGGGCTATCTGTCTGTTTGTCTTCCCTATTGCCTTGTTTCGTCCTTGCTTCTCAGATCCTATGCTGGCTGAAGTCGGATTCATATTGAAATGAATATGTGCGTTATTTCAAAATCAGTTCAATAATGCAGGGGAGTACATATTTATAAATAACTGATTGGTGTATATATAAATAATCTTCAATTTTGTTAATAATATGGAACAGTTTATCAATATTGATCATGCAGATGCTTTGGTAAATCTCACCCATTTTTCTGTGGTAGTGAATGGCAGTTACTACATCTGTGCTGTGGGCCACTGTTGTCTTGCATTGTTGTAGGAGTGGCTTCTGTAAGTCTAAAATCAACAAAGATGCTACCATTGTTTATTTTAGGGATTATAAACAATGATAATTACACAAGAGAAACAAGATTGGAATTTAAATAATCCTGAGTGGCAGCAGGGTTGACCTTCAATGTGTTATTGTCTAGTGCTACAACAAACTCTTTCAGTTTTCCCCTAATACTGGAAAATACTATATTTTCGCTTGAATGATCCAGTGAATATACCTTTTTCTCTATATTTGAAATTAAACTTTTCAAAAATCAGTGAAAATAAATTCCATACAAAACACCTAAAAAGTCTTTTCAGGGAAAATTAATTCCAGCTAAAATAAAATATTTTACAGTAGAAAACTTTTTACATAGTTACTTTGCCTATGTGTTTATGTATACGACTATGTATAGTTCACCTCGTTTCAGTGACGATAAGTAACATTGGGAAAATCACGTAAGAAACGATCCTCACTAGAAGCTAATCTACAAGCATCCAAAAGGATTACCTAAAATGCTCTTTTATATATAGGGTAGCTGGGTGTTTAATTGTTAATATTTCATTTACTATCATCAAGAACTGAAGCATGCATGAGCATTACTTTACTCTATAAATAATCCATTTTCTAT